ATAAAAGCCCTCCAAGATAAGAAATTAATTCAGAAGTTTCTGCATTGTAAGAAAAGCATTTTGTTAACAATGCACTGGCAAGAACACCACATGAGTACATGGGAAAAAAAGAGGAAATTAGGATACAGCTGTTACATAGCTATAAAATTCAGCTGAAGGATCAATGTGTATCCAGTTTTCAAAAATGTGTTTTGTGACGCTTCAATTGTCTATAACAGAATGTTTAAAGAAGCAAATTCCTAAAGGAGAACTTTAGGAATTAAAGTTATGTTATTAGCCTGGATCAAGGAATATAAATAAAACCAGGAAGTGCCTTAGAGTTGAAACTGAGTAAGAAGGATGTCTTCCATCATCTCAAGACACATGCCTGTTTCAGTTAACAAGATAGGCCCTCAAATCTTCTGGAGAGCTTATAAAGTCAAATCCATGTCTTCTGTCTTGACAGATGCTTCATGGGCTATGATAAAGAATAACTGATTACCCATGTATTGCATAAGATACGTTTGGTAAATCATGAATCATCTATTTGAAGCAGTGTGTTCTTTCTACTTTATCAGTAGTCTGGCACTTCTCTAAACTGCACTTAGACTTCTGATGCCCCAAATAATTAGACCTAGAAGGATGGTGAAGTAAGTGACAAAATAAAAGTCAATGGGTCTGACCTGAAATTTAAAAAATTCAATTTAAACATGTCCCAGACATAACCAGCAGGTTTTGATAGTGATGATCTATGGAAAAGGAGATCTGGGACTTCTCTGAGCTGGTCATGGCCAGTTACAGGTAGCTCTGCTATCCATACTATCCTCTGCTATGGACAAAACCAATCCACTGAACATACAACTGTACCCATCAGAGGAGCATATGGTGCCTCTGCAGAAAGTATATTTAAGGAAGGATATTAATATCTAAAAAAGAAAAGATGCAACAGACCAACACTGAAGCAGATGTGACACCTGAGTGGAGGCAAGGGGGAAAATGAAGGAGATGCCAGGATATATAGGACAACATATCAGGAGAGAGAAGCAGAAGAAAAGAGATGTCAAGGAGACAAAAGTAAGACAGCAGAGTAGCAGTCTTCTGAGGAATGCTGAAGGAGCAACCCTAGCAGTGAGGAGCAAAGAGAGGCTCAAATAAGGACTAAAACAGAGACACATACCAGAGAAGACTATAGGATAAAGGCATCTGATCAGGGACTGGAGCAGAGACACCCAAATAGGGCAAAGCACAGGCAGTAAAATAGGGCTAGTGCTAGGAGACAGCTAAGGAAAGAAAGACTCAAAACTGGTGGGTTTTATTTGGTCCATGATAACACAGAAAAGATCTATTTTGTAGGTGGCAAACAGCATATCTAAAGAACCCCACTGGCCCCAGCCCTGGTAACCTAATCTAGTTAGCCCTGCCTTATTCAGTGGACTAGACTAGAGAATTCCGGTGGTGCCTTCCAGCCCCAGCTGTTCTGAGACAATTGGGGTTTGTTACCAACCATGAAAAGTTCCTCTTTCTAAAACACTTCATTAACACCTTTTTAAAATACCTCTGAGAGTTTCTAATAAAATTTAAGACCCGTGATAAATGGAAAATGCATGAACAAAGGAATGAGCAAGGCAGTTTCTGTTCTATATGCCTTCTTATTTGTTCCTCTTATCTTGCAGAAATAACATTGTTAAGAGTTCTGAAGGACTACTGCCAGGTAATGTAGAAAAGTGGAGGCAAAGGTCATTCAGTACACTGGAAAATGAATAGGTAGAGAAATGTCACAGCATTATCACAGTTATATCATATATATATATTATATATAATATTTTATATATATATAATACCATATATGTTATTTGCTTCACCTTCTTGATCAAGGTGAAGTTTCTGTCGTAGAATTAAAAGGGAGAAACTGAACTGACCAACTGACTTTTGGTATCAAAATAGGTCTGTTACACTTTGAAGATGAGGACAAAAGTAGTATCCAGAAAGACAGTGACATTGTATCAGATTAAAAACAGCTTTTAAAATGAGCAAGTTTCTTGAGAAGAATTGTATTGGTGTAGAGAATCTGAAGTCCAGGACTATCTAAAAAATGGGACTATTGCTAAAACTAAGTGTATTGGGTGTAGCTTACCATCCTAATGCTCATTTTTTAAAGAGGCTGCACTTACTTATTTCCTAGTCTCATTTCAGGACTCAAGATATTCTAGTGGTTTCATTATAAGCATAAAGAAATATTTGCCCAGATTAAGTTTGACTTGCTATTTTTTCTTTTTGTATAGTGGTTTGACAGTACCATGAAAAATGATACGGCAAAATATAGTGTTTTGGACAATATCTCATCTTGGTCCTCAGACATTCTAACAAATACTCCCCACCCTCTCCTGCTATCTAACTGTCCACTCAAAACTTAAGGAAAGAAAATTCACACATTCTAAAATCTGTCTTCCTTATTTTAGAGAGCCAGGCTGATGGTAAATAGTTTTTAGTAATTTCAGAAAGAAAAGTTAAGACTGCTAAGATAAACCACTAGAAGACTAAAACACCATACCCATATTTCACTATTGTTTTTTCCTAACTTTCAGCTGATTTCTGTATAAAACTAGAAAATTTTTATCTTCCCAATAATTTAACATATAATGTAAGCAGTTCTAGGAACAATCTCAAACAAACCTCTAAATAACAGCTGAATAAAACATGCATAAAATGTGCAGAAAGATGCATGGATTTAGTGTTCCAGTGACTGTTTCATTAGCTGTTTATTACTATCTAGACAATAACTGCAATTTTATTATATTTTGCACATATATATTGGTCAATCAGTTCAATGTAATTTCTCCTGATGTATAACAGTCATAAATTACATACATGCAGTTTTTCCGTGTTTGCTTTCCTTTATAGTAATTTACTTTTTAGTAGAAATCACTATCTTAATTTGTTTGGTTTACTTTTTAGCTTTGAATGATCAGCCTAGACCAGTGTTTGATTTACGTTATCAAATATAGGATGCATTTCTAAAGCCTTTAAGCATCACACTGCTGAAAAAACAAGGTGCAGTTTAGAATGATTGTGAAGATTACTCTCTATAAGCCTTCAAATCAATAGTATTGATTTCAATTTAAGGTTTTATTTATCCCTGTTATTTCATTTAGTAAAGATCTACTATTTATCTAGAAGCAAGATGTAAGCATTTAGACCAAGTAATTTCTTTTTCTTTCTCATATAATCAATCTCTTACCCTGCACTCCGAAGAACTGTCCAAGTAGTGAATTTTTCAGCAGAAAAGTCACATTTTTTTTACATGTCATAAATAGTCACCTGGTCAAATATTTTTTTGTGTTTTAAATTCTATTTTTTTATTAGGGTTATATTAGCAGTAATAAGTAGTAATAAGTACAGGAAAAATTCTTGTCTGTAACAATGATCTGTTCTATTGATGTGAGCAGCAATCACATTCCACAGCGCTGTCAAAATCATAGATTCAGCATTTGTTGGAAGGGACCTTAAAGATCATTTAAATCCCATCCACCTAACACAGACAGAGCCTTTAATTTGACCTGCTTACTCAAAGTCCTATCCTGTCTGGCTTTGGATACCTCCAATAGACAGTCAGAACTTTGAGCAACCTATTCCAGTATCTCACCAGGCTCACTGTGAAAAATACTTTTCTTGTATCCAGTCTAAATCTTCCCTCTTTCAGCTGTTGTCTCTTGTTCTGTGACTGCCAGTCCCGGTAAAAAAAATTTGCATCTTTATTTTAAGTCCCTGTTATATATTGAAAGGCCAGAATATGGTCTGCTCAGAACCTTCTCGTCTCTGGGCTCAAATAACTTTGACTCGCTCAGCCTTTCTTCATAGGAGAGGTATTCCTTCCATCTGATCATTTTGTTGCCCTCTGGATCTGTTCTGAGAGGTCCATGTCTTGTAATAAAGGCCCTAGAACTGAATGAAGTATTCCAGCTAGGGTCTCAACAAAGAGGAGCAGAGAAGCAGAATCAATTTCCTCATCCTGCTGATTGCCCTTCTTTTGTGCAATGCAAAAGACAATTGACTTTCTGGCATGCAGGTGCAGGTCACCAGACCAAACCAAATTTTTCATCCACCAGTATTTCCTAGTCTTTCTCTTCAGGGCTGCTCTCAGGCAATTCTTTACCAACACTCTATAATATTCAGTAATGCTCCAGAGGTTGCCTGGCAAAGTTAAAGATTCCCCAACCCATGAAGCATTCAAGGTCAAGTTGGACAGGGCTGTGAGGAACCAAATCTACTGTAAAACCTCCCTGCAAATAGCAAGTGGGTTTGGACCTGAAGATGTTTAAAGGTCTCTTCCAAGTCATGCCATTCTATGATTCTATGATTTTCCTGACCCAGATATGGGTCCTTGCAAATGGACTTGTTGAAATTCATGAAATTCACGAGTCCACTTCTCAGTTTTGTCAAGTTTACTCTCAAGCTTGTCAATGTCCCATGGCCTATATCTTGTAGTATACTTTTCTTTCTGTGATGTATAGATAAAAAATATACTGTCAGACACAAGAAGTTTTCTAAAGTAATTAATCAACTATAGAGGTTATAAAGTCAGAACATTGGTTTCATCTACCTTGACCTTTTGTGCACTACATGCTTTAGTTGTGCTTTATATCAATTTGTATTCTAATGGGAGTTTTCTTTCAGATGAGCATTGCATTTTGTCTTGATTTAAAAATTGCTTATGAATAATTAATTGCAAATCATACCACTTGTTCCGTTGGTTAACAATTTGAAATTTGTTTCACTTATTGAGTAAATTTCTGTAAGTTAGCTTATACTCAATATACTAGGGTAACTAATTCTTCAATGTCATACTTCTGTTCATGTAAGTTATAGACTCTCCTCACCCCTCCATATTACCATTTTCTGTGTTTATACATTCAGTGATTCTGAATTCTGATTCATATCCATTTTCTAACCATTTAAATTTTCTTTTAACTTTATGCATTTTCTCCACTGATTGTGGCCACCTCTTCTGGCACTGGGAACAGTTCTACACATAGGGATAAGAGAATCAGCCCATGTTCACAAAGACTATTGCTCACACAAGCAAGAGTTACAATATTTTTCTGAGCACACTGGTCATTCATGGTAAGCATTTATTTACCTACCTCCTAATATTTAGGAATTATTGCTTCCCAAGCTGGAATCTTCCACTCTAAAAGAACAGTTCTTGTTCTTCTGTCCTACATGTAGATATTGCATTTAGTGAAATTTGACATGGTTGTAGATTGACTTGACTGCCTAATTTTTTGTTTTTTCTCTGGCCATCCTTGAGTCTTTTATGAGCATTATTCCCAGTGAAATCTATCAAATAACATGACTGTGTTTGGAATGTTTTTCAGTGGGCTATTGTGTGAAAATAATGACTCATAAAAATACAGGAACACTGAGGGAAACAATTTTTGGTTGTGAACACAAAAATTGCTAAAGTACTCAGATGACACAATTTGCTGCCAATATGATTGAGTAAACAAAAATCATGCAGATTATCACTATACTAACATAAATACTTTCCTAAAATCAAGACATCAATCAAGTTACTGCTTTAGAAATGAATAAATAAAATATCATCATGAAGTATTTTGCAATACTTTTCTGTCTTGTATGTGTTTTTCACATTTACTTGATTTAAATTTATTAAGGAATACTTCTAAGTTGAACTTTTCCAAATTTGAAAATACCCAAAGGAACATTGAAAATTGGATTTTAATTATTTCTTTACTTTTTTAACAAGATAGACTCAATGTAACATTTTTTAAAAAAATATATTAAGCATTCAATGTCTTTTTTTGTAGAGGAAGTTATTTTCGTGATTTACAATCACCTTAAATTTAATTTTATATTTGATAAATGTGTTATTCAGAAAAGTGTTTTTTTCCTCTGGATCATTTGGTAGTGAATAAATGATATGCAATTACCATTAATCTCAGTACTTCAGAAATAAAATAATTAAAGTATTCCTCTTCTATCAGTTCATGGTAGAATACTGCACAGAAATAAAACTGAGTTCCTGATGTCATATAATGTCATGTAATCAGATATAGACATAGTAATGCATAGGAAACTTTTGCCTGAGAATATCAGTCCTTTTTTCCTATTCTTTTATCCTATTGAGATTGCCATGAATGAAATGCAAATGGCTGATAGCATTTTGTGTAGCTGATTTTCTATTTTGTCAGGGCACAAGGTATTTTTTTCACCATATCACAGGGCATTTAATTGTATTACATTTAATCTTTTGTAATCCTTTAAATCCTCCATTTAATCCTTAGCACAATGACACCTTTTTAGCTTGTGCTTTGCAGCATGTTTTTAAGGGTGAGGAAGTTAGATTGTGCTTTCAGAAGGAATACAGCACTTGAAGAACTTCAGACTTTTGATTGTGACACCATGCAGATTGCACAAGTACCATTCACTTACTTGAGCTATGTCGGACTGCATATAAACAGCACCTATTCAATATGTTCATATGCAACAATCACACGTTTTTAAAAATCCATGACAGTCAGGCTATTTAGAGACTTGGATAAGTCCCTCTATGGAGAATGGCCATTGAAATTGTGCAGTCTGCTTACTAAGTAGTTGTGCTTAATATCATCCAATAGTTCAAGTAATTACCATTCTAATTCTGAACATCGAAAAACTTTAACTGAGGCTTAAAAGAACAAAACCAACATGCATTTGCATTTGCAATCTTTTTCATCTACATTGCCAGTGGCTAAAATGCAGTTTTAGGCTAATTCATTTTTATTTTTCTGCTACCATTTAGCAGTTCCATTTTCCCTAATATTATTTACAGTGGTTTGAGTTTTGGGTTGTAGTTTTTCTTTGGTTCTTTTTGGTTTTCTCCCAATATGCTGTCAATATTATTATTATTCATTGGTGTTACAACACTTCAAAAATACTTGCCCAGAATACACAGAGATATAAATAAATATGTATATATAGAGTTACATAGACTTAAAATTTGCCACCATTTTCAGGTTATGGATTCTCTGTAAGGCAAACAAGGTCTACTACACTAAAAAAAATAGACCACTGAAAAACTAACAGCATTCTGATGTCTACTCTTTGTATGTGTGACACCTGATCATCTGTTCTCGTAAAAAGGCTGGGTAGCTAATGGAGAGGAAATCCCAGAACATAACACATGAGGAAGAAAGCTCTTTAAAAAGTTATGCTCTGGGTATAACTTTATTTCTCACCTCCAGAGAAAATTTGTACCAGAATGTAGAAGCAGGATTACGACAACAAAGAGCCTTTCTCAGGAGAATAGTTTGTATTCAATAAAGAACACAATTTTTTTAAAGACACCTTGCTTCATAGTAATCCCTGATAAAGTCATTCATGTCTGGACTGCTACCCACATTTGCACACTAATGACGAGGAGATAAAGTAACAAACACAATGAGTGAGGTCTTCTTATAGTGTCCATAGTGCTTAAAAGTAAAGATATGTGGCTCAAGCCTTAAAAGCTAGAGACATAACAGTAGTTTAAAGTAAGTATAAAATCACATGACTTAACTAAGTATACATGGAATACAGGTGTATGGAATATTGGTTTAGATAGCTGTTCAGATTTTGTTTTGATTTGCTTTGGTAGCTCAGTTTTCTGCATGATACTACCAGAGCAATATCATTTGTCTATCTGAAAAAAGTAAAGTAAAAAAACCAAACAACCCAATTTCAGACAATTTTCAATATGGCTAAATCTCTGAGCTGCTAGTACCCATTTCTCAGCATTGGTGGTGCATTATAGCTTGTAAACAAATTCATCAACAGAACAAATTTGTCATTTTCTCTATATAATTTTCACCTCATATCATTGTTAAATTCCATGTTACAAAATAAATATGACAGTTGACATACAAGTTATTAATTGTTAATACATGTCTGCATAATCTCTAATATATTCCATGCAGTAAATGTTAACTTGATTTTCAACTGCCAGTCTAACAGTAAACTACTGTTCTGTATTATCTGCCTTAGTTACTTCCATGACTTCATACATCTTCTACCTCTCAGACACAACTGGACACAATTGCTTGCATTCTTTCATTATTCTTTGGAACACACATGGGTACATACATAACCTGTAATAAAGCAAACAAACACAAACAGATGAGCTAGGAAGTTCAAGATCATGTGTGTGCATAGGAAGGAAGTGTATTTAGGATAGAAATTAATTACTAATCTGTTGAGGATTCTGTCTTATTTTTAAATTAGTTTCATTCATAAATTCTTAGTTCTGAAAGAGAATATGACAATATGTTGACTATGACTCACTAGGAATTGCTCAATTTTGTTTATAAATAAACTGATATGTGAATGGCAGATCTTACCATTTGACTTTTTAAAATATTGTCAAAGAAAAGTGAAAATTTCCACTTCTCTGTCTGTAGCCTTCAACATGATCTCATTATCACAAACCTCATGATGTCATTAGTATTCTTGAAAGTAAGGGAATATTATATATAATCAGTATGAACTTGAAAACTAGAGAAGTTTTTAACTGGTTACTTTGGCAATTAAAGAGCCTGCACATAGGTCATTCTTTTTTTTTTTCAGTAGAGGCACCTCTAACAAGAATCTGTTAGATCCCACGAGAATCTTGATTTTCATTAATTGCTGACCATTTGTCAGGTATTGAGATTTATGGGATAAACATATTTTGGGAAATAATTTTCATTTTAATCTAAAGCACTGTTTAACAAGAATGATACAATTAATTAGTTGTACATTTCTAACAAACAGTAGAGCATGACAAATCAAACCAAGCCATATTTGAAAAGAGTATATCACTGCTTTTATATCAGTAATATAGGAATAGAATCAGCCATTTCCAGGATAGCTTTATACATAAACAAATAATCCCTCAAAGAACAAAAATACCAAATTCAGTCCTCAGCACAGAAGTCGTGTTGTATGAATAAAATTTAAATTTTTAATCTGTAGGATTGAATAATTACCCTGCCCCATCATAAAAATGTGTACCAATTTCCCACATTTGTGCATCTCTTCATAAAATATGAATTAATACATCATTTAAGAACTTGTATGAAGAAGAGGTATATTATCATTTGATTGCTTTCTTAAGCAAAAAACTATGAAACTACTTAATTGTATGGCTTTGTCTCCCTGTCATGGAAAAAGAATCTCAGTTAATATTCTTAAGTAAGATTTCTTCTTTCTTCACTCACCCTTCACTCTTCTGCAGAAGGCTAGAAAAATAATCAAAATTATCAAAAGTAGGAAAAAGTAGGTATCAAATGTTTACCTTTAACATCTATGATATATTTTATTGGGAATAGGACAGTAGGTATACTGCAAGAATGAAAACAACCTATGCCCAGGGGCAACCAACATGCAATCTTTTGTGTTGCTTAATGACTTAAGTGATGACAAGGCTCCAGTTTTGATAGCCTACACATTTAATGCCAAATAAATGATCACACATTTTAAAATTTGTTTTCAATTAATCACAACTACGCTCTTTATTCTTAAAAAATAGAAAAATAGGGAAATCTAACATAAGAGCTCTAAATAGAAGTACTACAATGACTCTGCTGACAGATACAGAACAGCCACATAATCATAGATATTCATAATGCTTTCTGTAACAAAAAGTCATTTAAAGCACAAGGGATTTTGTGCAAGGAGATAGAAGTGGAGAGGGTTTGTGGAGCAACCAGAAAGCAAAGGAGGTTTTGACAGAGTATAAATACTTTGCAAAGATATGTGGAGACATCCTGTCCTGGAAACAGCTGCTGGTATTCAAAAATGTAAACATATATTCTCAGGCACATATGTATGTACATGCCTGTATGAATTAAAAACTTAATGTAAGTCTAGTGTTCATGAAGCTCTGCCTTTTGTCTCTTCCCAAAAAGTTGCAGTTGTATTTGAGAACTGGGTTGCTAATTATGAAAACTGAGGATATGTAAATATTGTTAAGTCGTGCTCCATGCCAGAGTAGCTAAGTTACAGTGAGTGAAAGTCTTGTTTAAATCAAGTTTGGTCATGTCCCTAAGGTTGTATTGTTCTTTTGACTGCACTTCCAGATTTCTCAAATATTAAGTACGCTGAAG